CTTCTCCCTCTGCCTGTGTCTCTGCCTCTCTCTCTCTCTCTCTGTGTGTGACTATCATAAATAAATAAATTAAAAAAAAATTAAAAATAAATAAATACAGAGACCTTTAAAAAAAAAAAAAAAACCTTTCCAAACCTCAAGTTCCTCAATTGTAAAATGGGGGTAAGCCACTTCATAGAGTTTTTGTGGGAATGAGATAGTAAGGACTCAAGATCACTTTTAGTAGGCTGGTTCTAGGTTCGTGAGAGCCCTTAAGATTACCAAAACTGTCCAGCCCAATATTCAGAGAATATTAGTCATTTCATATATTTGTGTGTGTGTGTGTGTGTGTGTGTGTGTGTGTGTGTGTTTAAGATTTTATTTATTTAGAGGCACCTGGGTGGCTCAGTGGTTGAGCATCTGCCTTTGGCTCAGATCGTGATCCCGGGATCCTGGGATCAAGTCCTACATCAGGCTCTCCATAGGGAGCCTGCTTTTCCCTCTGCCTACGTCTCTGCTTCTCTCTCTGTGTGTCTCTCATGAGTAAATAAATACAATTTTTTTTAAAGATTTTATTTCTTTACTCATGAGAGACACACACACACACAGAGAGAGAGGCAGAGACACAGGCAGAGGGAAAAGCAGGCTCCATGCAGGGAGCCCGAGGTGGGACTGGATCCAGGGTCTCCAGGATCATGCCCTGGGCTGAAGGCGGGGCTAAATCGCTGAGTCACCCGGGCTGCCTTTTTTTTTTTTCTTTTTCAAAGATTTTACATTTCTTTTTTTTTTTTTAAATATTTTATTTATTCATAAGATACACAGAGAGAGGGAGAGAGAGGCAGAGACACAGGCAGAGGGAGAAGCAGGCTCCATGCACCGGGAGCCCGACGTGGGATTCGATCCCGGGTCTCCAGGATCGCGCCCTGGGCCAAAGGCAGGCGCCAAACCGCTGCGCCACCCAGGGATCCCAGATTTTACATTTCATATATTTGCATAGCAAAGCTGCCTGAAAACCTGCATCTGCTTTCTATCACCTGGGCACACTGTGGACTCAAGCTCAGCCCTCTGAAGGTGGCACCTAAGGCCAGCGCAGCCTGGACTATGCCTCATCTTTGCTCTCAGTCCTTACATCTCTGAATAGCCTTGTACCCAAACTCCATGTCCCTTGATTCTGAACAACACCCTCTGATGTGCCTTTGCCTTGGATCATGCAGCCTTCTCCTTTTGAGATGCCTCTCTTTTATTTTTGCTTAAACAACACCTGCACAGGCCTCAGGCTCAAGCTCAAGCAAGCTCAAGTTCAAGGGCTACCTTCTATGTATTATAGCTTTTCCTGGGTCCCTGTGTAGAATCACTGACTTCCTCCTGCGAGCCTCAGCCCTTTGGACTTATCTCCACCACAGCACTTAATGCATTGAGGCAGAACTGACTCCCGAGTGCTTTTCTCCTTTTCCCCCCAAATCCTGTCCCATTATTTAATGAAGAAAAAAGGGTGGGAGGATGGGGGGGGGCGGGTGGAAAGACAACTAAGGAAAGTATTTAACATCTTTGGAAAGCAGACATTGTACAACTCCAAAATAATCTTACTATAATTAAATAGCCATTACCTGATATGAACATTTCACACCCACTTAGGACACAGGCTGGGGCTCAGTTACAGCCTTGGAATTTGGCGCAGTTTTTTTCAGACATACACTGGATATCAGATACGTGTGTGTCTCTTTGTTTTAGTTGTGGCTTTAATTCTAGAAAATGTGGAGCTGAGACTAAGCCCTTGTTGGGGTGTGATGGGAGAACGGTGAACATAAATTTAATCCTTTCGCAAACAAACAAATATGAAGTGTATGAATTACAGCTGTTGTGACGCTGTGTGTCTTAGGACTTTCCTGATGGACCTGTTCATGACGTGGTTTGAAAGACAGGAGGACGAGGCCAGACAATTTGTTAAGACCTGATGGAACAGACGGAACAGCTCAGCTTTCTGGCAGTTGCTCTGTTGTGCCAGGGCCCTGCGTGGCAATCATGCAACCGCCTTGAACAGAAATGCATGGAGCCCCCCCCCCCCCCGCCTCTGCTTTTAATCAGTATTTTTCTTTTCTTTAAAATATTTTATTGTGGCACCTGGGTGGCTCAGTGATTGAGCATCTGCCTTTGGCTCAGGGTGTGATCCGAGGGTCCTGGGACCGAGCCCCACATCAGGTTACTCGAAGTATGCCTGCTTTTCCCTCTGCCTGTGTCTCTGCCTCTCTCTGTACCTCTCATGAATAAATAAATAAAATCTTTAAGAAAAAGTTTGTTATTTTGTTTTAATTACTGAATGGCTTTGCACTGTAAGCTACAGGAAGGTAGGGGCTTTGTAGCCCAGTGCCTATCTTGGCATACAGTAAGTGCTAAATAAATCCACATGCTCTGAATGACTGCATAAACGGTGACACTTTGGAGTATTAACTGAAGACAAGTCGGGGAACTGTGGCTGCTTAAAGCCCTATCAGTTGCCTGCTTTAATCAGCAATGAACTTTTCTTTTTTTTTTTTTTAAGATTTTATTTATTTATTCATGAGAGACACAGAGAGAGAGAGAGGCAGAGGGAGAAGCAGGTTCCATGCAGGGAGCCCCACGTGGGACTCGATCTCAGGTCTCCAGGATCACGCCCTGAGCCAAAGGCAGCACTAAACCACTGAGCCACCCGGGCTGCCCAGCAATGAACTTCTAAGCCTTATATTCACTTGGTTACATAAACAAGCAACTCTTTTTTTTCTTTAGTTTAAATGAAAACACTTGGGGGAAGTTAGATGAGTGGAGTCATTCTTTTTAAACTTTTGTAAAAGGAACACAGCTCTTATTTCCTCATTCAGAACAGACAGTATCATGTCTACGATTGACTAAGAATCTGCTGGAAGAAATACGCTCAGTTTAAGGTGACCTTGCCCTACAGAGAACAGAGTCTCAGGATGACGTACTAGGAGAACAAAATGACAAGCAGTATCAAAATGATAAAGTGATGTAGGAGCTGAAATCCAACAATGATCCTGGATTTTATTTTAGTGAAAACTTTAGCTTCTTCCAGCACAGAACCATCATATGAAATCAGGAGTACAGACAAAGAAGAAGAAAGGATAACCTTTCACTTTGTAGTAGGGCAAGAGGTAAAGTTCTGAAAAGGAAAAAAAGTCTAAAGTCAGCTTTTCCCTGGGTTATTTTATGTGATTTTGTTTAAATCACAAAACTTTCAACCAAAAGTTTTGTTTTATTTTTAGGTTTTATTTTATTTTTTAAAAGATTTTATTTATTTATGTATTTATGAGAGACACAGAGAGAAAGGCAGAGACACAGGCAGAGAGAGAAGCAGGTTCCATGCAGGGAGCCCAATGCAGCACTCGATCCCAGGACCCTGGGATCAGGGCCTGAGCCAAAGGCAGATGCTCAACCACTGAGCCACCCAGGTGCCCATAGATTTTATTTATTTATTTATTTATTTATTTATTTATTTATTTATTTATTTATTTATTTATTTTAAATTTAAATTTTTTTATTTATTTATGATAGTCACATACACACAGAGAGAGAGAGAGGCAGAGACAGGCAGAGGGAGAAGCAGGCTCCATGCACTGGGGGCCCGATGTGGGACTCGATTCCGGGTCTCCAGGATCGCGCCCTGGGCCAAAGGCAGGCGCCAAACCGCTGTGCCACCCAGGGATCCCTAGATTTTATTTTTTAAAACAATCTCTACACCCAACATGGGGCTTGAACTCACAACCCTGAGATCAAGAGTGGCATGCCCCACCAATTAAGCCAGCCAGGTGCCCACACCCAAAAGTGGGGAAATGGAATGAGAAGAGTTGTGCTAGAAAAGCCAGGCTGAGGAAAGCTACAGTGGCTGAATGCAGCCAAGGCAGACAGATAATACAGTAGCTACTTACTTCTCACTCTCCATAGACACCAGCCTCTTGGATCATTGGGAGCAAAGCACTGCAAATTCTGTTCACACTGCCCAAAAGCCCATAAGCACCAATGGACCTCCCCATCCTGAGCACATAAGACCCAGGGCCAGATCCTTCATTTTCCAATTCGAGAACCAGCATTAATTCTTTCACTGGCCAATTATATATGTGTTAAACATTTCTAGTCATGTCCTGCATCATATGTTTCATCATATTACACAATCTCAGAGCTTGAAAGTCATGAATTTGTGCAAAGCTGCAAACAAGCAGGTGGTAATGGCTTCAGAGGAGGAAGAGGAGCAGGTTTCCAAGTATAGGTTTGGGGTTCTGGCCACTGGGTTAGGGTATCAAGCTACTGCATGCTAGCTCCCTTCTTAGGAAAGACACTAAGAGTACAGATTTCCTCTCTGAACAACTGATAGGTGGCTTTCTTGCTTGCCCAAAGAACACAGAATCTCTTATCTTTAAGACCCAAATACCTTTCCTTGTTTATCATTTTTGTCTCTAGAGTCTTTCAACAATAAGCCAGATGAAAGAGCACTTCTTTCTTTCTTTCTTTCTTTCTTTCTTTCTTTCTTTCTTTCTTTCTTTCTTTCTTTCTTTCTTTCTTTTTAAAGATTTTATTTATTTATTTATGAGAGACACACACAGAGAGAGTCAGAGATGCAGGCAGAGGGAGAAGCAGGCTCCCTACAGGAAACGTGACGTAGGACTCGATCCCGGGTCTCCAGGATCAGGCCCTGGGCCGAAGGCGGTGCTAAACTGCTGAGCCACCTGGGCTGCCCATCTTTTTTTTTTTTTTTTAAGATTTTATTTATTTATTCATGAGAAACACAGAGAGAGAAGCAGGCTCCCTGTGGTAAGCCTGATGCAGAACTCGATCCCAGGACCCCAGGATCACGCCCTGAGCTGAAGGCAGATGCTCAACCACTGAGCCGCCCAGTTGCCCCTGAAAGAGCAATTCTAGCTCTTTCCAACTCAACAAAAAACTGGACACTGAGGAAAGACAGCCATAGGAGGATGAGGGGAAGAGCAGGGGTAGAGGACGGAAGGCAGGGCTCGGGCCAGTTGTATACTTACCACTTTCTGGTTCCCTTCATTATCAGTCAGCAGCCATTCAATATCCAGGGTATCTTTTTCTGGAAGCCCCAGTTGATGGTGACAGGGCAAAGTGACCTTTTCTTCAGCCACTCTCTTGATCTCGGTGTGAGTCCCCAGGGTTCCAACATAGTAGGAAACTGGAAGAGGAGAGCCTCTAATGAGTAATGCAGAAAATGGATAGCAATGTGTAGGAAGCAAACATTACAACTAATAATTCCTAGGTGTTCCTGTAGGCAAGGGGCAAATCATGGTGTTGGAAGAATCCTAGACCGCAGGTACCAGAAGTCCTGGAATCTCGCACTGATTGGCTCCTCCATTAACTGAACTCATTTATTTTCTGTAGCCCCCCCGAATTATACTCTTACTGATGTCTATCTTTCCTTCCTTATTGTGTTTTTATGAATGATGAAAGCACTCAGGTCAACAACTGTTTTTTTGTTTTTTTTTAACTTTCTCTCCCTTACCAGTAGAGACTTCCAAAAGGACAGAAACTAAAGGAAAGGCAGGGGTTGGCATCCTCCTGAGAAAGACTCCAGATATCACTTCACTCCTTGAGAGTCACCGTAGAGACAGGCTGCCCCAGGATGCCTCAGGGAACAAGTGGGACCTTATAGGCTGTTCCTGCTTCCCTTAGGGACACTCATTCTCTTTTCCCCCAACTTCTGTCTTCCATTCTCTATAGTTTCATCTCACATGGCTTCAAAATATGAAGCAACCCCTCCTGTCCAAAATGAAATTCCAAATTACCACATTTGGATGCTGTCCCTCCACCCATCCAGGATCCCTTTGGCCAATGGGATTTCAGAGTCACTTCTGGCTTTCTTTATCTCTGATTTTCACCTTGTTCCAGGAACGGTATCCTGTCAGCAACTCTAGGCTCCCAGCTCACCCTCTCTCCTCCCTATCGATTTTGGACATTGTTGATTATGAAACCCACAGTGTTAAATAACCTCACTTGGATTCAAGGTCTGATGTGTCCTGCATCAAGATGTGCTTTAAGTTCCTCCTTTGTCTCCTTACACAGGATAAAGAAGCTCAGTGGGAAAAGTGGTCTCTTTCTAGCCATTCACAATGTTCTAGTGCTACATTCACAAGGTAACAGAATCATACAGCCTACACGCTGGAACAGCCCCAAGGGTCAGGGCTTCTGGTGACGTCCCCTCTCCTGGGGAGCACTCACTCTGCCATGTCAGAGGGTCTTAAGCACTAAAGATCAAGAAACATGACCAACAGAAGCACATAAACTACCTCTCGTATTCCCTGTTCATTTCCCAAGATAGATTAGCAGTAAATCTGTTGGGAAGGAAAAGGGCCTGAAAGGAGGAAGAAGGGAACAGGGGCGACTGTAGTTCCCTCTAAACCGGGGTGCAGATTGGGTTGACATTGCAGGGTTGGATCTTCAGAGGCACCCACCCTACGAGAAGCAGCAGGTGGATTCCCAAGCTCTGTGGCAAAGAAAGGGGACCACAGAAATCTGTGGGGCATAGAAAGGGCTTGCAGAACCAACAGGACAAGACCCTCGTGGGGCCTTACTGACATTCCCAATAAAGTTCCTGTTATCTCTGTTTAAAACTTAAAACTGCAATGAGAGTGGCCACGATTTAATGAGTCCGTTGTGTGGTCTGGCTGTATACTGAGCACTTAACCGTAGGAAGAAAGGGTGATTACCCAAATCTATGGATGAAACAGAAGGGGCAGCTTAGCAATTTGCTCAAGATCATACAGCTAGGCAATGACAGATCGGGGGCTCAACCCCAGATCTGCCTCCCTGCAAAGCTCAGACTCTAACAGTCATGCTCTGCTGCTTCTGTCCTATGTCTTATGTGGCTTCCTGGACCTGCTCCTGTTCTCCCATTAGCCTGTAAGCTCCCGGAGATTCCCCCATTAACCACTACATCCCCGTAGCACCCAGCCCAGAGTCCCTCACACTGTAGGTGCTTAACAAACAGTTGTTGGATTGACTTCAATTTAACCCGTGTACTCATTTCACCCATAAGCAAACTGAGAGCCAGGGATAAATGAGTTGCCCTGAGGTCCTACAACTCCTTCAAAGACAGAATAACCCATACAAGATCCATCCTCCCCCGTCCCCATAAAGCAGCTATGCGACAGCAGGGAGAGCAGCCAGTGTGCATTGCACTAAGCTAAGTTGTAAGAAGGAGCTGTCCCCTCCAGCTTCTCCCCCTGCCCCCTTTCCACCGGGCACAACAATGATCAGAGAAAACCAGCCTCCCATGCCCCTGGCAAAGCTGAGAACCCAGCAGCAATTTGGCGCATACAGTGGGCTCTATACATTAAATAAATAAATGCAAAGAAACAGCTATGAAAGTTGCTGATTTGAGCCACTAGAGGGAATCAAAGGCTCAGATTTGCTTGACGTCCCCAAAGGAAAGGAACACAGTGGTGGGTGGTGTGCTTTGCCAGAGTGCCAAGTTCTATTTATACCATAACCAGAATTAAATACAGGAGTGCAGGGAGAGGGCCGCCCAGTGAATACAGATGACTTTCCCGAAGCAGAGAAACTCGAGATCAGAGTACATTCACCTGTGGAGAACCTCAGCTTCCCAGACTTCAGGGGTCTCTGGGATCCCTGCAAATTTCACAAATTCCTCCTTCTGTGTTTTGCCTCCCCGCCACATCTGTGATGTGCAGCCTAAGCAGACAGGGCCCTGGGTTCTGTATAGAAATCTCAGGCTTGGGGATGGGCAAGGCTGCCAAGCACAAGTGTCTGCGGCCCGGTGTGTGAGTGCGCAGAGCCAGCCCTGGGCTCCCAGGCATTGAAAGGTTCCTCTTCGTTAGACTGTTAGGGAACACCTGGGTGGCTCAGCGGTTGAGCCTCTGCCTTTGGCTCAGGGTGTGATCCCAGAGTCCTGGGATCGAGTCCCGAATCAGGCACCCTGCAGGGGGCCTGCTTCTCCCTCTGCCAATGTCTCTGCCTCTCTCTCATGGCCTGTCATGATTAAATAGATAAAATAAATAAAATCTTAGAAAAAGAAAGAAAGAGAGAGAGAGAGAAGGACTGTTACAAGATCATCAAAATTTAATTTAATTTGGTAGGAAACTGAGAATTTAAAAGTTAAGTCACACTGATGTGGGAAACAAAGGCAGAAGGAAATATAGATAAAATTAAATGTCCTAATCACCGGCAGCCCACTGACAAATACTTGAGGCAGGCGGAGTATAATGTTCTTTCAGGAAGCTCCCAGCCTTCTCAATGTGAACGCCTTGCTAGAGGGAAAAACAACCTTGGCTCGACCAGAGCAAGGCCTCTGGTATCCTGTGTGGGCTTTAGCATCTGAAGATCCTCTTCAAACTTCCCTGATGGTTGCTTTACCCAACTTCAAAGTAGATCATCAGCTGCCCCTCACAATCCCGGGCCAGCAGGGAGCTGCAGCCCTTTCTGCCCTTGGGTCCTGCCCTCGGTCCTGTCCCCGGGCTTTAAAAAAAAACCACCATTTTGCCCCAAAGATGTCTCAAGAATTCTTTCTTGGCCGTGAACTCTGGACCCCACCAAGCCTCACCTACATTCTAAACCTACATCAACAGGGCTGGCGCTGGTGGAAGCAGACCGCAAGTAGGCAAATGCAGCTGATTCTGGAACAATGCAGGGTTAGGGGCATCACCCCCCCCACCCTAGTCCCAAGTCCATATGTGACTTTTGACTCCCCCAAAACTTAACACTGTGGACAGGAAACTTTACATAACATAACATAATGTAGCCAGTCCACACATAGACTGTACGTTATGTGTACTATATACTTTTTGTAATAAAGTCAGCTAGAGAAAACATTAAGAATATCTTGCGGAAGAGAAAACACAGGCACACTAGTGTACTGTAAGAGCTCCACGCATAAGTGCAGCCACACAAGCCAAGCCTGTGTTGTTAAAGAGTCAACTGAAGTCTCCACTGGGTCTCTGGGATGCTCCGGGCACTTGATGGTGAGGGGAGGTGCTAGAAGGTAGCAGTGGTGCGAATATTGTACATGTGGCAAAATTCATCCCTGGAAGGCTCACCTCAGGCTCTCCCTAAGGAAAGGAGTCTCCTACAACTCAGGCACTTAACACAGGCTCTTGAGAGCTCGAGCTTGGGACAATGACCCTCGCTGAGCCTTACTGTTCTCATCTGCAAAATGGGGATTAAAGGACACCCTGACATAAGGCACCCAGCGCAGGGATGGCACATAGGGCATTCGTTTCCTCCTAAAATGTCAGTTCCCTTCCCCTGCTTTTCTCCACTAGCAGAAGGGTTGTTTTATTTTCTCAGATGATGACTGCCTACATTCAACTAAGATTAAAGATTTTATTCTCTAAAGGATATTTATATTTACCAAAGATTCTCTTGAGCCTTTAAGACCTTCAAAGGTGGGGGCGGGGGGGAAGACCTTCAAAGGGATGGGGCAGGGATAACTTTTTGTTTTTCTGTGTATACTTTTATATAACTGAGGGAAATAAGACACATATTTTGAAGATGAGTCTATTGGGAAGATAACAGTACATTTTATTTTATTTATTTTTTTCAAGATTTCATTTTTATTTTTTTAAAGATTTTATTTATTTATTCATGAGAGAGAGAGAGAGAGGCAGAGACCAAGGCAGAGAGAGAAGCAGGCCCCATGCAGGGAGCCCCATGTGGGACTCAATCCTGGGACTCCAGGATCACACCCTGGGCAGAGTGCAGGCCCAAACTGCTGAGCCACTCAGGGATCTCTCAAGATTTTATTTTTAAGCAATCTCTACACCCAACTTGGGGCTTGAGCTCATAACCCTGAGATTAAGAGTCATATGATCTACTGTCTAAGCCTGCCAAGTGCCCCAATAATAGTAAATTTTGGGCAGCCCTGGTGGCTCAGTGGTTTAGCGCCACCTTTAGCCCAGGGCGTGACCTTGGAGACCTAGGATGGAGTCTCATGTTGGGCTCCCTGTGAGGAGCCTGCTTCTCCCTCTGCCTGTGTCTCTGCCTCTCTTTCTCTCTGTGTCTCTCATGAATAAATAAATAAAATCTTTAAAAAAAAAAAAAGGAGGCTTCTATACCAAAAGACTATTCCATTCACATCAAAACATTTATAATCAAAGCCTCTTAAAAATGTTATGCTCAGAGAGCTAACATTCTTTCTGCTGTCAGGGAGATGTTTTGGAT